ATGACGTAACCCAGAAAACTGACAGATGAAGCGTGGAATTCACATTTCTCCGGTTTCACATATAGCCTGTTCTCCAGGAGGCGCTGAAGAACCAGCCTCACATGTTGTCGGTGCTTGTCTGCACTCTGGGAGAAGATCAATATATCGTCTAGATATATAAAAACAAAATTATTTATCATATCACGAAAAATGTCATTCATTAACGACTGGAAAACAGCTGGAGCATTAGTTAATCCGAATGGCATCACCAAATATTCAAAATGTCCCAGGGGGGTGTTGAACGCTGTCTTCCACCCATTCTAACTTTGAAAAAACTCGTGCATGGCAAAGAGGTTCGAAAGAGGGTTCGATAAGAGGGAGAGGAGTACAGTCCTTTACCGTGGTATCATTAAGACCTCCGTAGTCGATGCAGGGGCGCAGGGAGGAGTCCTTCTTCTCGACGAAGAAAAAACCTGCCCCCAGAGGAAACGAGGAGGGACGAATCAATCCAGCAGCCAAAGACTCATTGATATACTCCTCCATGGCCTCTTTCATGGCCGAGAGAGCTTGTAGAGCCTGCTGGAGGGCAGCGGCGCGCCGGGCAGGAGATTGATTGTGCAATCATAGGGGCGATGAGGAGGCAGGGCACGTGCCAGATCCTTACTAAAAACTGTAGCAAGGTCGTGATACTCGGGCGGCACGGAGATCAGATTCGGAAGGGGCGCTGAATGCGCAGCCGGACTCCTCTCCGGAGCCGCGGACTTCAGACAATGCGCGTGGCAAGAGACACTCCAGCTGGTGACGGTCGAGGTTATCCAGTTCAAGTGGGGATTGTGCCGACGTAACCAGGGGAGACCCAACACAGCGGGTAACAGTGGAGAGGTGATCACATACATCTGGATAGTTTCTCTATGATTCCCCGAGATGATCATGGACAAGGGTCGGGTGCGATCTGTGACCGTAGCGAGGAGTCTGCCGTCAAGGGCGTTGATAATTTTCGGGGTGTCAAGTAGCTCGAGAAGGGCACGAATCTGTGTGGCAAACTCCTGATCAATGAAGTTGTCGTCAGCACCCGAATCAATTAAAACCTGCACCAGGAAAACTCGTGAATCCATGTGAAGACTGGCCGGC